ACTCTTTCCTCTTTCGCCTGTCCTATCTTCTTCTCTCCTTCTCTCCAAAATCTTTAGCCTACGAAAAACGTATGAATAGCCGTATCGCGTACTTTTGAAACCGAAGGGACAATCGAAAGTACTATCGGTCGATTTTCCATCGGTCCACCTATAAACTAACGCCCTATCTTCGACGCTCAATCGATCATAAAAAAAAACAATTTTTGATTAATCCCGTCCAACCACTATGCTACATCCAATTATTATGGCTAACAATTTTAAGTTTTGATTCCGCTGTAATCGCGACTCGTCCCATTTATAATATACATAAAAGCCGTATCGCCTTCTCGATTATCAATCATCCCATCGATAGGCCCATTAATAACTCGAGGAAAGCATTAAAATCTACATTATAGCTCATCGTCACACATTTGGACATTCCAAGGCAGCTTTTGATTACCGTTGCGCTCGAGATCCTCGATTTTAAGAAACATATCCTCAACCCAAACCTACATGTCGATTTTTTCCCTCATTATCCGATCGGTCGCACTCAGCTGGTCCGCGGCGTTTTTCCCGATAAGTGTCAAGGAAACCGACCCCCCACGAACTAAGCGCACGTGGCTGCGTCTCATGACAGTGGGAGCGTCACCCGTCGTCACCGAGGTTCGAGCGGCCGAGCGCGACTACCGGAATCCAAGGGCCGTCGCAGCGGCGAACACCAACGAGAGAACGGCGACAGCGGTAGCGGCAGCGGCGGCGGCGGCGGCGGCGGCGGCGGCAGTGGTCGCAGCGGTGGCAGTGGCGGCTTGACGCACGCGCCCCCCGTATGATCCTGGCGTGCACACGCGGCCCTCGAGTTCCTCAAGGGTGCAAACACCGGATTTCCGGAGACGCGAGCCCCGCTGCCTCGCCGAGATTACCCTCGACTCCACCCGGAAGATGAATAGACGAGGCCGATGGTAGCGAAGAGACGAAAAGCATCGGCCCCGTACCTCGATAGGCCACCCACCGGTCTTTTTCTTTACTTCGCTTTTGTCTTACCTGCGCAAATGACGTATGGTTCGGCGCTGCTTTGATAGGCCGAATCGATAAAATTTATTGCTTTGTTTTAGTATTAGTGAAGTCCCACTGGGCACGCTCGTGTGCTACTTCAATTGGCTCCTCAGCCTCCCGTACAAATTAGTATTGCGAGTCATACGGCGAAGCAACTTAAGAAGATGGGAGCCATGGGCACTGGTTCGAATGCTTTTTAATGGGCTTGGAAGGATTTTTTAATAAATTAAAAATTACAAACTTTGTAAGAAAATGTCAGGAACGCATGGAAAATATCATTGAAAAGTATGGTATTGTGATTAATAAACAGCCGGGAATTTAATATAAGCAATCTCGTAAAGTTCTTTCGAATTAACAACGTTTTTTTAAATTCCTGATAATTGGATATAGGTATTTCATGGTTATCCTTTGATAAGCTGATAAGAAAATGAAAGAAACAAAAGCAATATTGTAATCGAATAGAACTAACATGAGAAAATATATGTAAAGGTGAATTTGAAGAAAAAATAACTTTGAACAGCCGAGGGTAAACGTAGTTGAACGAAATATTTAACAAATGTCACCACTTACGTTGTTTACCTACCACTTACGCAACAAGTGTAACTATGAATTAAAATTACGCGATTCAATAAATTATTTCATGCTTTTAATATTTTTAAAGCGCTAATTTAGTTGATATAAAAAGCACAATATTCATAGTGTTATTGCTTAAGCATCGTTGCAGAATAATTTACAAAAATTTAAAATAAAAATAATAAATAATTTATCAAAAAGATAATTATTTAACTGCCACTGAAAAGTTTAAAAGTTTCAAAATACTTTGACTATCATAATAACAAAACTGCGTATAAATAAACATTTAAAAGCAGCTTTGTTAAAAAAGAAACTTTTCAATCGAATTCTTTTATAAAACTCATTTGAAATTGAGTTCATAATGAGTATTCCGTAGAGAAAAAATCTTTTTGAAGTGGTATTTCATTTTATTTCATATTATTTGTTTTAATTTAATAGCTATTCATCGTTAAGGTATTTATTTAGAAATTTAAAAATTTCATTTTATAGAAATTATTTTACAATAAATTTATGATTACAATATATAACGTATTTTATGGAGAATATTCTTTAAGTAGTTTTCTTCGAGTAGTTTAAAACTCTGTCTCTCTCTCTCTCTCTCTCTCTCTCTCTCTCTCTCTCTCTCTCTCTCTTTTAATAGTTGTGCCGATGCTTTGGATATTGAAAATTTTTTTATGTGTTATAATCGATAAAGATACAACTTTAGTTGAAACATAAAGAATCATTGTTTATTAGTTCTAATTAATGTGAAATCGGTTTATTACATATTGCTAATTATAAATTATTAATATAATATTTCATATCCATTTGAGCCATGGATAAGGATAAGAAAGAGCTTTTGACGATAAGTAAAACTGATGGAATATTTGTGATACACAAGTCACAAGTATCCAATAAAGAGAATATTTATGCTTTTGTAATGATTTATAAATACTACAGAAAAATCTATAAATTTTCGTTTTATTAAGTAAAATCATCGAATGTTCTTTATTTCGCTTATTAAAATAGCAGGAAATATCGACTTACGTACTTTTCGTAAACTATTTAATTAAAATTATCTGAATCCTACATTATTCATGTGGATCTCTAAACAAATACATAAAAACATTAATCAGCACTGTATACGCGAAATTAAATATTGTTCGTTTAAATATATAAAATGTTTAACGAATGCTTATTATTTGCCTTTAAATTGTGTTCATTCGTCGCAATGCATGTGCGTTGTTATATAGTATTCTCTCTCGCTCTCTCCCTCTCTCCCTCACTCTTTTCTAGATTTAGCCTTTGAATTGCTCGTACTGTCGCGCATGAAAACGCTTAAATTTAATTAAATAGGACGCAACTCATACCTTCGTACACGTCAAGATATCCAGTACTTTTTTCAATTATATCATTTTCTTTTATTGCATTTTTTTAATGATATATACTGATTTTCTTTTAATTAAATTCGATTTAGCTACGATGACCCCAAAACACTAAGAGTAACAAACATGGAATTTTTTTTTTTTTTTTTTTTTTTTTTTTTTTTTTTTTTATTTGAATTGATAAATATACAAAATGATAGCAGGCGCGTTTTATGGTAATAAATTGAATTACCGTATAATTTGATTACGAAGAAGAGTTGAATGTACAGCAAAATAAGGTAGGAACTGCTTAGATTCATTAAGCATTTAAACAGATGCAGGAAATTATAATAAATATTTTTAACGATGTAACATTTGTATTCTTTAGTAAAATAGCGGTAAAATTAATCTGGGTTCTTGCATTGTTTAACTGTGTATAACTAGCTCGATTATTATAATTTATGTAATTGCACGCGTAAATCAAATAAAGAGAAAATGAACTTGAGATGTTGGAATAGACAAAAGTAATATAAATACATTAGAGTACGCCTGTTGCTTTATGAGTACGTGTAATGGAAGGATAGTCAGTGCCACGCATATTAGCGCATCTAAAAATAGCCTTCGAATGATTTTACAACTGTTGCTGCTCAAATTGCAACATTAAACAAGGAATTAATAAACAAGGAATAGTTGATAAATTCATAGATTAATAGATGCTCTGGTAATTATGTTGAAAGAATGTAATTGAACGTATTACTAATTAATGAAGCCGGTTCTAAAAAAAAAAAGAAAAAAAGTTCTCTCCTACATATATAATAAACATTAAGAAATACCAATAATCTTTGATCTAAACATATTCTGAAATGAAAAATACACTCGTGAATACTGGCAGATCGTGTGATCTTCTCGTAATTCCTCTATATTCGTGCCACTCCCATTCGCAACGCAACTCTTTCAATAATCCGTCAGAGCGCCACGTCATCTCTCATCTCTCGTCTCCCCCCCCCCCCCCCCCCCCCCCCCCCCCCCCCCCCCCTACGACCCTAAATCATCTCCTCTCGCTGTAGCGTATGCAGATTCGACTTTTACCCCTCGCTTCGTAACTCGTCGACTCAGACCTCAACGGACCCGAGGATCGACCTCGCGATGACAACGGGCGCGCATCCCCTCGACAAAGGGGAGTTTAATTAGAGGCAAGAGAACTAATTAACCCGATCGGATAGGCGAATGATCGTCGCGCCGAGGCTCACGCCCGCGGACCTTCGCTCACGGCTGATTTCGATTAGGGATTCTTTTATCCGTCGTTTTGACCCACCGCTGGCATAAGAATCAATAGTTGGGGTAGGCGACTCGGGGGTTGCGTCGAATTTAAATGCGCCCATCCCTTTCGGTATGGGAATCCGATTGATTCGAGCCGCCGGCAGCTAAATCGCTTTCGTTATTTCTATTGTAATGGAGAAATGAAAATTATGAGGTTACGGCGGTGGGAGAAATTTAATGGACGCGCGGCTGGGCGGGTTGATGGTTGAGTCTGCGTTGGTAAGTTGGTAAGTTCGCGGGGACATCGGGAGTTGGCTGGTTGGCACATATGGGCGAAGAAGTTGGAAAGAGTTCGACGCTAAGAACTATAGGAGCTCCGATGAGCGCGACCTATCATTTTACAAAACTTGAAAGTTTTGTTTCTGCGATAAAGAAACTTTTCGACTTGTTCCTTCTATCATAAAAATATATGAAATTATCTCGAGAAAGATGTATTTACAGACGGACTTTTGGCAGAAGACGAAACGCGAGGATTAAATTCTGATTCGCGTTTGAAAAGTTCTTATCGTATAATCACGGCCTCGTGGATGAAATTTTATTGTCAATAATAATTAGGATGCAAAGATGTAAGAATGAAAGATTTTTTTAAATATCTCGTTCCGTGACTAGTAAATTCTATTTGTCGTTGTCTCGACTGCGAGGCCGTTGTACTTTATAACCAGAGAAAACTATGATATACTGCAAGTATCATGAG